GTGGTAATAGATTTGCCTCAAAATTCATAGAAAAAACAAATAGACGAGATATATTTTGGGCGTAACCGCTTTTCAAGTCATATATTCCTAACATATTCACCCGATTTTCAATATATATGCATATATAGGTCTACTCTGTATCTCTATAGGCTAAGCTTTCCATGTTAAACGGTATACAGGGACAGTTATATTATAGGCCTATATCGTTGTCAACCCGAATTGATTCTCTAGATTAAGATTAAAGGTTATAATATTAAAATTGTTTCTTTTTTATTTAGCTACATATTAGTTAGGTCTATGTTTAGAAAAAATATTTACCCAAACCGAGGCAGATGAGCCTAAACATATAGACACATTGCACAATTAGTTTAACCCGTGACGTACCCACATGAAACTCTTTCTCTTTATCCTCATGTTGGGCATCTATGCGCTTTTTTAGACTTCTGCCTTTCATAGCAACCTCCTCCTTAAGGAATCTTAGTTATAGGAAAGTTTCTTCTCATAATATTGTTGTTGATGAATGAATAAGTAAGAAATAAAGTGCTCATTTTACAATTGAATATGAACTAATGTTGTGTTTTTACTGTTTTGTCTTGTGGATAGTGAACTATAACTGGTGGTTCAAATCCCTCAGCGCTTGGAGCAGTTTTCACCATTTGACTAGACTTTTTGACAAATTGACTATTAAAAATACAGTGATCACTTCCAAACTTGTATATTATATCAGCCATATTTTGAACTATTATACAAATAAGAAATTCTGTTTGCTTACTTTCCATTTATAAGTTAAAAAAAGTTACACAAGGTGCCCCGGTCTCAGCTACAGCACATCCCAAGATGCTTTCTTAATACTTCTAAAATTATGATAATAATTTATTACCACCGATACTGTTATAATGAATCATATTTACAATAAGTGGCAGAGTAAGGGAGACTTCGACGAGGGGTGACTCCAAACAAAGGATGCATTGTGAACTCAGCCACGCAATTGAATTGAGCAAATAATATTAGGCTCCCATATGTCGAAAAAGCACTCTATACCTCTACTCAAATGATTTTTCCAGTAATGTTTCCCTTCATACCTTCTTTAGATGGCAGAGAAACACATCTGCACGTACTAAGTTAATAATATTGTTGTGAGTAAACAATTAAATAATCTATAAATAATGTAGGTAATTAGCTAATGAATCTAAACAGCTGCTCCAATAATTATCAACGTAACAACAATAACATAATGTGTTGATAATCCAATAGTCGTAATGACTATCAGGCCTATTACTTGCAACATTGTGTGAATTTTCAATCATTTTAATTATTAAAATGTCTGATATTCAGACAACAAAATGATATTGTATCGTTTATAATTAACATTACTAGCAAACAGGTAACGTATTATTATTGTTATTGTAATTATTATATTATTGTTGATAGTTCACTTTCAGTTGACGTTCATGACGACAACATAATACAGTACTTTAAAATCAATTTAATACTGTACTTCTATATTATGTTGATTTTAATTGCGACAATTACGATTTATGTTTAATTACCGGTAGAGAATAAAATTATCTTGTATCGTTTTCGCACCACACCTTTAGGCTGCTATGAACAAAGAGGAAACAGTCATATTACTTATTGCTCACTACCTACCTGTTCTTATTTTATTATCACCTTTCATTTAATATTATTAGGCCAGGGCCCCCGTCGGGAAAAAAAACACAATTCGTCGAGGAGAAAAAAAATGTAGGCCTATATGTACTTTCTACATATTGGTAGTCTCTAAATTCGATTAAATAAGCCTTTGGAACCCCTAAATTGTCATATTTTTCGGGGCTTCGCCCCTGGTACGCTTTCGATAGGTTTTGAGTGACGGCCAACGACGTCCAGGCTTTTCGTCGGGGACATCGCCCCACAACCCCGGTCGGGAACGTCGGACTAACCATGTCTAACAGGGGTTGAGGTTTTCATCCTCCACCTGTGAAAACACTCCCTGGTCCACCTATTTCGAATTCCCTGACCCGCTACAGCAATTGTTAAATTCGATGTGCCACCAACTTTCTTTATTAGTTTTCAACAGCTGCCCCTCTTAAAATGGTTACCGTACGATTCCGAATATCATTAGAATATATTACTATCCTAGGCCTTTAGGAGTATGGGGTAAAAGAAGCACTTCTTCTTACGATGAATTTTCTGATAACTTTAGGGAATTCCCCTATGGCCCGGCAATTAATCTTGCACAGGGCCCTTTCGCGCCCACAGCTACGCCGCTTTGGGCGGCGTATCCGGGAACGTGGCATTAATCCATAAAAAGTCCAACTGAATAGTCTACTACAGAACATTATATGTATAATATGTGAAAAAAGATCTATATTTTCGGTGGTGTTTGAAACGATACTGTTATCGCTTAATTTCCATGAAAAAAAAAACTATTTTAATTTGGTTAACTTTTTAATAAAGTTTAATAAAATTGTAAAAAGTCTTTTTTATTCTTGCTTAAACGGGTCTAATTTGTATTAAGCTTTGCTCTTTTAGTACTCGTCACTCATATTATGTATTGTATTTCATGTGAGTGGAATAAATTGAATTGGAATTGAAGGTACCCTTTTAAGTTATTGTTTAGGAGCTGATACACAAGCCTTGGAAAGCCTTTTTACTTTATGCTGTAAAATAAAAATGCTGAATAATAATAATTTTAAATAGAAAATATTAAACTTAATTCTAAATCTATTTTGTTATATTTAAAACCGTAAGATTATAAGATCAATTAATATAGGTCTAGATCATTTAAAAAGGTCTACTTTATCTGAAGAGCGGTTCAAAATATATGATAGAAAAGTCTACAAAACGGCGTTATGGCATTATATAAACGGATTTACCTCCAGTTTGTGGTTATACGCTGCTAAGAAGCCTCTTACAAATTCATAATTACCATGCGGTAATTATTCAACAGATCCGCGAGTAGCAGAAGCCATACCTCTAATCAAGAAAAGTCGCCACAATCGTTATTATGTTGTTATGGAAACAATGTGCTGTCTTCCTT